CTGTTCTGGAGAGAAGCCCTTGGGTGAACAGATGAGATCGCAAATCTCATCTTTTTCACTGCCTCTTTCTCTTTTCTCTGCCTCAGTCACTGTGAGTTTCTCTCATATCCACTTTTATCTGATCTTCACAAAAAAATGCTGCAACACAGACTAGTCAAACATTTTTTTTTTTTTTTTGGAGGGGGAGGAAGTCGTTCCCTGGTGGAAAGAGTTATCATTTTGTCGATCAGTGGTTTGGTACCCACTGGGCAGAAAACGGAAGCCTATGTGAAGCCTGTTCTCATCTAAGTGTGATTGTAAAGTAACAAATGTGCTAGTCATAGAGTTTAAATGAAAAACCGTGTGATTAGAGATGTTCGGAAAAAAATTTCAAGCTTAAAGAAAAAAAAGTTTTGTAATGTGAATCTCAGACATAGTTTTCCTCCTCTCTTATCAGAGCAATCTGTAAATGAGACATACTATTGTTAGTGTTCCTTCATGTTACTTATAAATTATTCTTTCAGAGTCTGTATGCATCCTAACTGATTTCATTTCCTCAAAAGAACTAAGAAAAAATGTTTTAATGTCGCCTGTGTTACCCATGGAATATATAAGATGCAAAATAAAGTTTATTTATTCCACAATGGTATGAATATATTTCTTATCATACTGGCCATTGAAAGCACTTCACATGAGTCATATTCCCCCAATCATGCTGACACAGTCATACACCGGAACTCAGGTCGGGGGTCAACTTTTGCTACTGACCAGTGATAGAAATAGTACCCCGCAACTTTCAGATTGCGAAGAACTGGTCATCCCAGTGAGTCAGGCAACTCTAACGATAGAGTTAGATCTAATGATAGAAATGTTTTGCACATCATGTCTTTTCTTTTCTTTTTTTTTTTGGTTCTGACATTACATATCTAGCCAAAACTAACCTTACAATGACAGAGGTCATGCTAACTATGAAGACATCAAGAGAAAAAAGAACTGACAAAACTTAGAATAAGGCTGAAAAACCAACCAACAAACAAACAAAAAATACTCATCCAGACAACACTGACATTTCCAAAAGAAAGTTGATATGCCACTGTGACAGTAGAGGGATATCTTTTGTTTAGTCTGACATTGTGTATTATTTCCTTTCGATATTTACCTGTTTCATCATATGATAAAAGTGTAGTATTGACAGAAGAAAGGACAAAGGTAACCAGAAAAAGAAAAGAAGATGTAAAATGTCTCCATTGTCACTCTTATTTCTTGGTTGTGTTAAGCAAACAAAGCAGTGCTTGTCTCAGATACACAAGGGAATAATTAAAACAAATTCTCAACAATACATTTATGATTGTTGATAAGGAAAACTGGTTGTGAAAATGATGATTTCAAATATCTATGGAATAGTTACATTTCACCAACAGAACCTTTACTTTTAACTGTGCAAAACCTTGACTCATCAAAGTACTTGTTGAAATATTTTGTATATTTAGAATTTCTTGGTCTAAATGCATTGCATAAAGAGCCATTACATTCATCTGGATCTCGTCAGAGTGCAGCAACTTGAAGGCCTTTGAACACTGCAGGGTACAGCCCTATCATACTCCAAACCTGGTTGTATTTGTATTCAGGAGATTGTTGCTTTGAAAGTGAGAGGGAACTGCCATATCAAACACAAATTCTTGCTGCAGCTGCTGAGACCATCCCCTCAAAGACCCAGTGGGGACTATGTAGACTTTCTGGTCCTCGTAGTCCCCCAAAGAAGATTCCACCTAAACCTTGACTCTGTTCCCATGTTCATTTGAACACGGGAACTTGAAATAAAAGTTGAAATATATATATTTTTGTTTTTCATTGATTGGAACATTTATTTAGTTTATGGAGTATTTAAAAGATACATTAGCAGTATTTAGTTATTTTATTTCAAATGAAATGGCTCTTTATCACACCATGATTTGCTATGGATGGAGATGATCACCAACAGGGCAGACTGTGGTGCCTGACAAGAATAAAAAACAACAACAACAAAAAAAAAGGAAAAAATGTATCTGAAGGAGCATTCTCGTTTTCATGTGACAAACACAGTGTTGTCCCCAGAGGGGGATTGGGTTTTCTTTACTTTAAACTGTAAGAGGGCAGGTGGGTGCTGATCACCCAACTCTGGAACATTTCAGCCCTTCAAGATGGCTCAGTTTGAGTGCAACAGATGGGCTTGCTGCCGTCCAAGCGAGTCTCTGTCCAACAGGAGCAGCTTGAAATCCTGGTCAGCCTCAATGGGGGTTTCCATTAACTAAAGTAGATTTGGTTGTATTTCAGTGCTATCCACACTGAGTCAACTACATTTTATCTATCTATATATGTATGTACAAACTCAGTAAAGTAAACTAACTTTGTGATTACATCATGATGCATACTTTTGCAGGTCTGTACTTATGTTTTTAACATGTCATTCCTCTCTCCCAGTACATATAGCTGTATTTCAAGAAGTTAGAGTATCTCCACAAAGTTATTTTATTTCAAAAACTCAGTTTCAAGTCTTGTCTGAGAAGCAGTTATTTGCTCATTTTGATTATTGGTCAGGAGATCTGAAATGAGTTCAGTGCTGTCTTCTTCTGTTCATATGGTCTGACAAACCAAATGAATAAATAGGGAGAATAGAACTAAGAGATTCAAAGAGACTGAGTAGATGAATTACATCACAGTCTGTGTGTGATTTATGTCAAACTGTGTGTAAACACTATTAAAGAAAATTGCAACACAAAATCAAAGTCTTTCCAGTACAGTCAGGTGACATGCAGTAATGCTGCAAGTGCCTTCCACAAACACTGAAAGGAATAAAAACGTTTTTTTTTGTTTGTTTTTTTTTTTTTTTTTTTTTTTTTACTTTGGGAAATCTGTCCCATTTTTGCAACTGTGAGCATCTGAGTTAGCTACTGTACAAAAGACAGTTAATTATTTGTTTTCAGCCCTCTGGTTTTGTTCTTTATCAGGATGTTAAATGTAGTATTTGTTTCAGCCACTAGGTGGCCTTACGTTCGTGTTTGCTGCATGTTGTTGATAGAGCTGAGTGTATTAAGTGGTGTGGCTAAAAGCAGGCTTCGCTGTTGTCCTTTTCTATCGTGTGCGTCCATTGAATGTAAGTAATACTGTTGTCGGTTTAGTTCAGGTTATAAATGTCTAAGAGCTGTATTGTATCCTGTCACGTTTAATATTATTGTCATTTGCTGCGGTTTGTTTAATTTGTTGAGAGCTAAAAGTTAGCCGTTAGCACTACGCTATTAAGCTCGGTTGATTAGATGCAGCTGTTACTCTTGTCACTATTGCTGCCAAAATGCCTTATTTCTCTTGTATATGTTATTGTGTGATGCTATAATTAACAGATTTGATTATTATTACATTCTCATAACTATTAAGAAGTTTATAGTAATATTTAAACATAAATAAGTTTATACACTTTGCAGACATTTGGTTTATTGTGCATTTACCTGCAAGTTCTTATAATTTGTATTTGTTTATCTTTGTAGAAACCACACACACACATACGCACCCATCCATAGTCCCAACTGCATGTGACTATATGTATGGAGAACAGCAAGAATTCATTAAAGTCGTTTGAAGATAAATCCTGGAGTTGGACATCCTCTTCTTACATCAATCACAAACTCACCTGAACATATACCTTAACTGTCCTAACCCGACACCCTGGAGTGATTGCTTGTCCATCAATAACTGAATCAGCTTCAATCTTCAAAACAGCTACATTGTGAGAAATTGCAATAATCAAGATGTGTAATCAATCTAATCTTTTTAGCTGCAACCATTCCTCATTTAAAAATCTCTCTGGTGAGTAGGGAGAGTTCTTGTTCCGCCGGCATGAATAAATATCCTCAGATTAAATCTTAAATGAATATCAAACTTACATTTTCTGGAAAACCAGCCGATCATAATATCTTTTTTGTATCCCTTTCACATACCTCTGCATTGTTTCTGGTTTGCTCATTCCATTATAAGATTGTTTCTGCTCACTAGTCATAGTGCCTGATCGTTTCTCGCTCACTTTTTCCTGGATATTAGTAATTATTGCTAGAATTTTAGACTTGTCTGGGCTTGTGTATGGAAATGATACAGCATAAAACAGTGTTGTGGTCTTAGTAGTACATATGCTAAAAATATATCATTGACCTATGACACTGTGGTAAATTCAGAAAATTGATTTGGTATCATTTAATCAAAACCGGCTTAGTATGCTGCGCAGAACGGTGCATTTTTCTTGAATTACCAATGATGTGATCCTATTTATCAGATATGTTATGTTCAACACCTTTGAAACGTTTGACCTATGCATCAACTTGTCAGCTGTCATTACCAAATGAAAATGTGAAGGGCAGCACGCATTACTGTTTTAGCAAGGCTACAACACCAGGCCTCTGGATCTCCATTTGTACTCATTCATCTCACACACAGCTCCCAGTTTAACATATTGGCATTTCTGAGGTGCTTGGTGGTAATTGTCAGCCACACGGCGGCTCCTCGTTTGTTTCAGTGACATTTTGCCTTTGGTTGATTGTGTATTTAGCAGGGAGAGGAAAGCGAAATTAATTGGAGAGAGGCCTTAATCTGTCCGGCTTAAATGTCACCTCAGTATTGTGATGCCTTTGCTGACACAGTGGAACACAGGAAGGCAGCTATCTAAGGACATGAATCTAAGAAATACACTAATAACACATAATGAAAACTAATATGCTTTTGGTGAGCTACATATAGTTTGAAGAATTTTCTGTATAAAAGGTCTGCAGCATTTACTAAACAGTGAGACATTCAATATTTGCATATCAAGCTCTTTTTCTCATGATGTCATCCATTTTGTGAAGTGCACCAGTTCCTCCTGCAGGAAAATACATACAGAAATGATTCTTGTTCTTCATAGTTGCTGGAGTTCTTGTTTGTACAAGATGTAACCCTGACCCCCACATGCAACCTTATTAGTACTGTAAAAGAACTTCAAATTTTCAATTTTCCTTCCTTTTATTTTTTTCACAACTGACATTTTTGTGTGAAAAATTGAGCTATCTGCCACAGAACATTTTTTATCAATCATTTTTAGATTTCATCAGATTTTACAACTAATGATTTATAGTTTTTATTATCTGCTAAAGGTCCAATGGAAAGAAAAGTGTTTTTTGTTTCATACAATTTAGTCTCTAAAAATGGGCAAACTGAACCAAAGCCTTCAACTTGAAGGTCTTCATGAATGCCAGATGTTTTTGTTCTGATCAAATTGTGAGGACAGCTTTTCAATATGAATGTTATTTATTTATCTCTCAAATCTTTAGGGATATAAACTACAAAAACGTTACTTAAACATAAAAATAAATTACGTTTACTTAGTTATTGTATACATTCAAATTCTTGCCATGTAATTCTCTAAAAGAATTACGTGGCAAATACAAACAAGCTTGACTTCAGCTTTCTACATTATGACATTATTTACTGCATACATACAATTACACTTATTTAATGAATAAAATACTTTGGTAAAGTATGACATTTTTAATCACTGGCCTATCTATTTAAAAATACTGAAGTTAAGAAAAACTAAGCAAAGAGTACAGTTAAACATTTTTCATTTTAGAGTATAATAAAATAGTTCAATCAGAAGATTGAAGGATTCTTCATAGTTCAGAGAAGTCCCAAAGGCCTTGATAATTCTGTAATAAAAACAAACAAAAAAAATTGGTAATTAAATATTATATGGAGGGGAAAAAAGGTTCCAAATAGTTGAAATAGAGAGTGAAAAAAACATGAAAATATTAACTAAGACAGTCAAGTGATTAAATGTCATGGTTACTGGTTTAAAACCTTCAGAGAAAGAAATTAATTTCCTTTTTCAGAATTACCAGAGTGCAAAATAACCAAAATTTCAGTTTTATTGTTCTTTATGTTGAATTCATCACAACAGTCCATTACTATTTGAATTTCTGAAGTTCAGACTTACACGTCCATGCACGGATACACATTCCGCAGAAGGCGACAACACTGGAGATCTGCAGTGCTCTGCCACATTCTGGGCTCATCAGACAGTCCCTGGTCTTCAAGCAGCACTTTGGACAGCCTCCACCCTCTGAACTTTTTTCCTTGTTGTCCCCATGGCTCTTGGGCTGAGTTGTCTTTGGCTCTTCCTCCCACCCCTCACTCTCACCTCGTCCCATGATGCTTGTTTAGTTTGATACAGTATCTACTTAAAAAGAAAAGAAAAATCAAAGAAGAAAAACAGTAAATTTCCCTGTTATAGAAAAAAGTGAGTTAATGTTCTGATTTGAACACGCATGTGAAACAGACTTTGTTTATAACAGTGTATTGAAATCTAAACCAAATCCATTAACACCTCTCCCTCTGTACTCTGGGTGTGTTTTTCCTGCTGAACCAGATTCTGTGCTGGTATTTGCTTGACACCAGTTTTTGTTTTTGTTTTGTTTTTTTGTTGCCTTTTTTCTGTTTCTTCCACTGGAAACACTCACTCAGGTGGAACAAAACAGATGTGATCTTATGACAAAGATTTAACGAGGCCAAGATATGACTGCATGAGGATCCAGAGTGCTACTTCAAACAAAGAACCATTTTCAAATCTCTAGAGTTGGTTTCAGCTTCATTCAGCTTTATTTAAGATAAATCCACTTAAATTTCATAAGAAAAATTGCACAAACTCCTACCTCCTGAGCCACCAGCACCCCTCCTGTAAAGGTTGCTCAACTCTGATTTAGCAGATCACACAAAGGTTCTTGTGACTGAGATCTGAGGAACTTGAAGGCCAAGACAACATCTCATGGCAAGTTGCTATTTGTAGACTTTTCATGGGCTTTTAACACAATTCAGTCCCATATTTTGATTGATAAACTTCTTAATAACTTTTATCTGGATTATAATGTGGGAGGCTGGATTCTTGATTTTTCTTAACATCCAGATCACAGACAGTCAGAATGAACGGATGCATGTCTGGTAAGATGTCCCGGTATGCCGGTCCCCTCAAGGCTGCGTCCTTTCCCCTCTACACGGACGACTGTCGCAGCCAGCATGATAATAGGTTAATATTAAAATTTGCAGATGACTCGGTGATTGTTAGTCTTCTATCTACATGATGAAGAACATGCCCATGACCCTGTGGTCGATGAATTTGTTGACTGGTGTGATAAAGCTTTACTTTTATTAAATGTACAGAAAACAAAGGATATGTGCATTGATTTTAGACTTAAACCCCATGGCACAAATCATACAGTAATTAAAGGTCAGACAGTGGAGATAGTAGAAAACTATAAATAGCTTGGGACTATTTTGGATGACAAGTTAAAATTTACCTGCCATTCAGAAAACTTACAAAAAAAGGGACAGCAAAGATTATTTTATCTAAGGAGGCTCGCAAAGTTTCAAGTGGACAAGTCAATGATGGTCTTATTTTATAGATCACATATTGAGTCGGTGTTGACTTTTTCTCTACTACGTTGGTTTGGAAATCTTAGTATTAGGTCCAGAAACAACCTCATCAGAATGATTAATATTATCAATAAGATCTTAGGGGTTGAACAATGCTCACTCACAGAATTGTGTAAAAAACAAATCATTAGAAAAACTAGAACTGTTACTGCTGATATTTCTCATCCTCTACATTCTGAGTTCCAGTTTCTGCCTCCTGGCATTAGGCTCACACTTCCTAGTACAAGAAGTAACAGATACAGATTCTTTTTTGTTCTAACAGTAATATCTCCTTGTAATGCAGGCGAAGGTAGGGGACTTGTATTTGATCTGGTGGTTGGGGCAACTGTCAGTCGATGATGAAATCCATTGTCGGGCTTTTTCCATTATGTATTGATTGGTATTTTATGTCTTTTTGAAACGTTTTGTTTTTGTTTTAATTTGTGTACTTGCTGTAACATCAATTGCCCATTTGGGGCACAAATAAATAAATCTGAATCTGAAATCTGAATCTCATTGCTGTACTTTACAGGTCATTCCTGAACCATTTTTGACTTGGAACATTATGCTGCTGATAGTGGCCACCGCAATGAGGGACTGCTGCTTCCATGAAATGGTCTCCATGGTCTTCTTTCTATCATGCGTCTTGGTGAAATATGTTTCCCAAGTGAGAGATTTTTACAAAAGAAGTTCATCAGACCATGAAGTGTTCTTTTATTGTCCCATTACCCCGTTCTGACATTGCAGGGTGAATTTTGGAGGCTTTCAAAGATGAACAAGGGGTAAGCATGTGTACCTGACTGGTCTCCAGCTGTCCAGTCTCACATCCTTTCTTTGCAGTTTTAAATTTTACAGAAACAGATCAGTTAGATCAAACCATACACGTTTGAATCCTGATCCTGGTTTACTACGTTTCTTCCTGGGATCACCTCTGAGATCCTGACCCACAGCTGTCATCTGGTACAGTTTTGCAGAAGTTCTGACCCATTCAGTTATTCAGTCATCAAAATTATCTCTTATTATCCCTAATCAGTGCATACACACCAGCTCTGATCCTTCTACATTGCAGCTGCTATTTTACTTCAGTATCCATGTTTTTTACTGCCTGATAACAGGTACTTTTGGGACTATTTTGGGTTTGCTGAACTATTGAGTGTGTAATTATCAGCTGATAAAGGAGATTATCTCTCATAATAAGAGGCATAAAACCACAGGAGACTCAGACGTTTTACATAATCTGTTTCTGTCAAACTATAGATTGTAGTTTTGCCCTACAACAATTTGTTCAGGCCTTCATATTAACTTTGTATCTTTCTGTGTTTTTCTGCAATTTTTTTTAAAATTACCATTGACCTGTAACCAGTGAAATGTATATGATCTTACAAATTCTAATTATACATTATCTAGTAAATGAATTTAAAAAAAAGTTTACACATCAGCACACTTTGAAAACTAGCTGGTGCTTACCAAGTAAAAAAGCTTCTTCTCGCTTTGCTTTATTCAGAGTGCCTGGACCCTTGGATATTAAACAATTGCTTGCTGGTGGCATGGACTCTGTTGTAGTCTTAAACAATTGGATTTGAAGTTACCCAATCGCTAACATTTGGCCGAGGCATACGCAATGCGGCAGCTGAATGGAAGCTTGTATGTAAACAACCCCATGAGGGCTACTGCCACAAGTTTGCCAGCAATAAGAAGTCATAAACATTCCTCTTGCTGTAAACGCAATTGCTCCAAAAAACAAAAAAACATATGACATCATCTGAACTTACTTTTGACGTATTTGACGCCTGTATAAAATGTTAAAAGTTTGTGTTTCCATCCAGACGTGTAAAATTAATTTTTTTCAGTTTCATTACAGAATAATATCTTCCCACCGCAGCAAGTGGTTAGCTCTCCAATCTCATCTTCATTTCTTTTATGAACTCTTTATTGAGTGAAGTCACATTGATTTGACATATTAACAATCCTTCCACACTCACGACCACTCCTGCTGCCAGAGGTTGAGGCCTTCTGTTTTAACTGTCAGATACAATTGCTCCCCACAGACATTATCAGATATTAAGTGATAACCCTGATGGTGGAATAACAACTTATTCGATGCCATCTGGTGGGCTCCTCATTTATTAAGGCTGACAGAAAATTAGATTGCTGGCATCCGGAGGGGATCCTGGCATTTTCAATGCACCTTTTTGCTTTCAAAACTTCACCGGATTTCAATCATAAGTAATGGAATTCCATAACCCTCTTCAGCAATGAAAGTGAGCTGGAAAGGAAGTGAAAGAAAAGCCATTAAGAGGGAGAAGAAAAGAGTAATGGTCTTACCCTTTAGCTTTTAGAGGTTTTTCTCTTGTCAGTTTAAATTTTGCCTTTCCGTGGAGAAGGTTTTCCTTAGAGGTGAGCCCTGAACAGATACTTTTGCCTTCACAGACGCTGCCAGTATGAACAATAGATTCTTGACGTGTCAAGGCTCACATGAGGAAAGAGGGTGTGTCTTTTAGTCTAACAGGTGTGTCCGAGCTGACTGTGCTAATATAACCTGACTAACCTGTTTGGGATTTTGAGCACTTTTACTGGTTTTCTCATCAAGATTCACAGATTTTTTTTATCATTATTATTGGTTTATGCAATATTATTGACCAATTGCTCAATTAATTACTATTTTATTACACAGTTAGTCCTTATTACTGTCACTTTCGACCAATAAACAAACCATTTCATTCCCATGTACCTAAATGACAGCATAGATTTACTTTTAAAAAAAAATAAACATAAAAATCATTAATTGTCCTTCAGTGGGTAAATTAATCTGTATTAGCAGCATACTAACAGTCAAAGAGAAGAGATTTACACAAATGTAACAATATAGAAAACAAAAAAAATGCTGTAAAGTAATTAAAATAGCATATTTAGATTAAAAGAAATGTGGAAGTGAGTAGGGTCATTTTAAAAATTATGTACAGAATGTGCTTATATGTTCTGACCTCTGATCAAACTAAATGACTCAGTGACCTTCTGCTAAAATCAGGAAGTCAGAGCTGCATAGGAGCTGGGCTTGATGTCACACTCAAGATAACTGCATTCCTGTTAACAGTTGGAGAAGTGGGGATTTCAAGATGACAACACCCAACCAGACATTGTTCACAGTTCTTTAAACCTTAACTGTCACTCTTAAAGTGCTTACAAGTATGTTAATGGGTCCACATGTGTCATCATGACAGTCATGGGGTTAGGCTTTATTTTCCATTTTGCATGTGAGCTGGTGACAAGCTTTGTTGTCATCTCGTATTTGTGTATTCTGCTTTCCTTCTCAAACCAAGATTTTGCAGTCAGATGTCCATGTTAATGTATGATTAATAATGCAGTTGAAGAATTAGTTCCTGCCCTCTATATTGTTCAACTGACAGCTTGTGAAGACCCTACACCCAGCTGAGATCTAATCACATTGGACAGGTTTTAGTGCAAAAGTATAAATGATTGTGCAAAACGAGACTAACTTTTATCTGAATTAACTGGCTCTGGACTGGACTTCAGAAACTAACCCTGCAGCATGGAAAGAAGACCTTTGTGAATTAAAGAGAGAATCATGTTTTGTCATTCAGAACCATATTTGTATTTCTCGTTTAATTTTATTCATCGCTGCAGCTTTTTCAATCAGCTGCAGGCTTTTAAATAAATGTTTGATATGCTTGATAATTATTGATCTCAATATTCAACTCTACATGTAAGAAATTTATGGACTAAGTTTAGTTTATTTTCTGAAACAGGCCTCTATAATTGTAATTTTTTTTTAAAAAAAAAGCAAGACTGGAAAGACAAAAAAGCAGAAATCTGTTTCATTTTAGAGCCTGGATGTCAGAATTGGACTGAATCACTTAACATAATCATTTTTGACACTCTTCATTCATCATAAAAAAGAAAAGAAAATCTGACTAAAGCATTCCCTACATCAACATGTAGAATTTGACAATGATGTGACAGTGACACAGGTACATCCAGCAAAGATCAGTATCAGTTTGTCAAAACTTAAAAAAATAAATAAGTAAAAGAAAATGAAGATCAGAAATGCCTCACTAATTATGATACATACATGTCTAAAACTAGACTAAAACAAGAGCTTATTTACATCATCATTTGCATATTTTCTGATGGTCAACATTCATAATCACTTTCGGCATATTTTTTAGTTGGTCCAAATACGGTTTAATCAGTATTTTAGTTACATAAAGTGTGTTTTACCTTCAGCTAAAAGCAACTGTAGATGTGACATAACTTTTTAATGACTCATTGTTGAGGAATTCAGGACTATGTCACTCCTAAAGTGACACGCATCTATGACGTATTTGCAGTCTTAAAAAAGAGGCAAGTTGTTAAAGGAACAAGCGCTTTGGTATGAACGTCATATTTTATTTGTGTCATGGACTGATTCTACAATGCCAATAATGTATTATTTATATTTAGGGTTTGCTGTATATCACCTCAATAAATGTTAGGCTTGTCAATTTCATGCATGTCAAGAAAAAGAAAAAAAAAGTAAATTACCAGTTTGCCGCAATGGCGGAGAAACAATCTGTCCTTACAGAAAAAAAAGTTTATTCACCATCATCAGTGGCCAGTATCAATACCCTATGCTTTCTGCATGGGAGGCTCTCTTATGTGGGAGAAACTGCAGCACAGCTGACAATAAGGGGAAATGTGTGAGCACATACATGAGCATGATGGACTGTGCTATTCCTCCTGGGTCGGATTTGTTGTTTCTACACAGAAGTGACATATTTCTGCAGATGACCGAAAGACGAGAGGAAACATTTATTTTTTTTAAATAGATTATTTGCCTCATATTATTGTCAGGACACAGCAACAGTTTTAACAAATATACATGTTTCTAAAGAATTACATACAAAAACCAAAATAAAATCCCATTGAAAATTTGTCATTTGTCTATTTTAGTTTTAATGTTGTGCAACCAGCATCTTTATGGGAAGAAAAGTATTTAAACAAAGTTATTATGTGTACTGTATTAAACCTTTAGAGTTGTGTTATTATCATGACATTGCAATGTAGATATTTTTGGTACTCATGAAACAGCTTCTTTAGTTATTTAGAGAGATTAAGAATTTAAGATTTGACACATTTATATAAAAAAATCATGTCCTTCAGTTTTGTAATTATGGAAAGAGCTATTGCTAAGGTCAGATGCTTCTATCTGTCTTATGAGCACATAATTTATGTAAATCATGTCATTCACGTTGTCATATATATGTCTACCTTCTACAAGAGCTCCACCAGATACAGAGCTTGCTGCTTGACCTCCCTCATGACAGTGAGTTGGAAAAAGAGTAAAAGAAAAGCCATTAAGAGCAAAGAAAAAGAGTAATGATCTTGCCTTTTTGCTTTTAAAGGGGTCTTTGTCTTGTCAGGTTGAGTTTTGGCTTTTCACATAGTAGTTTTTCCTCAGAGGTGGTGAACAGCTACTTTCCCCTGAACAGACCCTTACAGGTATGAATAGGATCTTGATGTCTGCCACTGCTCACATAAGCTCCGTCTCCACTGTCAAATCTCATTCTAACCCTTTAATGTCTGTATCAAAGTCATGTGTGTCCATTGGCGTCTGTTCCTTACTATTGTGAGGCATGAACATTGGGCAGGAACATGGGGAGCCTGTGAGCATGCAGGAGTTTTGTTTGCAGCAACATTTCACAATGGAGAACCTCAAGGTTGTGCTTTTAATGGACTTGAATTAACCCAAATATTTGTCTTATATCTTTGTCTTATGGAAATTCATTGCTGGTCCAAACATAATGAAAACAATTCAGGTCAGTTGATTAGTTTACTATGCATATAAATATGCATAGTATTTCTATGCATAGTATATAAATAAAACTGGGAAAGATGAAACTCAGGACTATGTTCCTCCACAATGAGCAGCTTTCTGATAGGACACTTCATATCTGCCAGTCCACAGGTAGTGACTGAGTTGTTGCTGAGTAACTTTTAGTTTCTCTTCACACATCAAAGGTGAGAACCTCCAAGACAACCACAATCGGGACAATAAAAAAACGTGAAAAGAGAGGCATGAGCAGGCAAAATAAACCCAGAAACGATATTTATCTACCAATTGGGTGTTTAGAGGACAAAAAGGAGACTCAGGCAAAATTTACATTGTTGACAGCCAATGGCAATCAAGAAGAAAGTAAAGAACACATTTGACAATACTGGAGTAAATTAATAAACCATAAAAAAACATGCTCAATGGACATAGTCACTAGTGCTCTAGCAAAGTAAAAGCCAACTTCCGGCATGCTTTTCCCGCACCTGTTGCACTCTTTTTATGTCTTCCTCCCCCTAGATAACTTGTTAGGAAACATTCCACAAAGTGAAAACACCCAAGGCTCACGATGGAGGGACAGGACACTGACTTGTTAGGAACTCTCAAAACATAAGTACTGAAGAAGGCCTTTGAAAGAAAGAAAACATGTCTTCAAGGAACAAGAAATCCTGTCATCCCTCCTTTTTAAAGAATAGCAAGGGCTTGGGGAGAGTGCAATAAAATAAATATCTTAGGAATTACAAGTGCATGCATTTGGATTGGATGTTTTATAGTTTTAGTGTCAACACAATGGCCATAATAAAAGTTTTAGTCTTGTTTTATTAACTCAGTTTTTACTTTTCTTTTATCTCCTTGCATGTGTCTGTTAATGGCAAATAGAAAAATAATATTGGGGATATTTCCTACCAGTGTCTTGATAGTTTGCTTAATTTTTCTTTTAATTTATAAAAGCCTGATCCCTCCTGACTAAGTCATGTCCCCCCTAGAGAAATAGCGTTGGTTTGCTTCTGTCATAGCAAAAATGTATGTCACGATTCACCAAGAACTGCGTCAAATTAATTTGTTTTATCAGCAATAAATGTTTCCAGTATGAAAAGTTTTATTAGGACCCGGGGAATCTTGTTCTATTTCAGCCTAAACAGATTGGTAAATGAACACTGTTGCTGATGGGTATGTGCTTTCCTAAATTTACGTAAAATACCAATAAACACCACAGTAGATTAATATGAAGTAATCTTTGTATTTTCATGGTGGTTTTTTGACTACAATTTATGACGCCAAATTTGCTTTACACTTCTCTCTTATTCTCTGGTGGCTGGTAGTACCCAGACAGGCAGTGTTTTCCACTCTCTGGCAGAAACATGACAAGCAGCCCATCCCGTCCAATCACAGGCTCATGCATCTATCACAGTCCCAGGATGCTTCCTCCCAGCTGTTACTGGGCAAGCACTCATTGCAGATTGTTTTGGAAATACTCACACTTCAGACAGCAGGCCATCCATGTGGTATTTATTAAAATACATTTGCAGATTTGCAGATTTTTCTGTTGCACTTCATTAGGTAGGAGTTGTGGGAAACTCAGTTCACTTGTTAGACACATTTCTTACAGTTTTAAGAGGTGCAATTGA